ATCAATGTCACTAAATTGTACAAACTGTTGAATTGGTGTGTTTTGCTGTGTGTATTCTCAACAACAACAAAGTAAATAAAATTTAGAAGAAAAAAATAGTCTATATTTACTTGTTTATTGTCTATCTCCACCCCCACCTCAAACAGAAGCTCCAGAAGGTAGGCTCCTTGCCTTGTTCACCATGTGTCCACAGTACCTGGCTCACTGTGTTCTCAATAACAATTTGTAGAGTGAATAAGGAATGATTGGGTGGAATAGGCCGCCCATGTTGGAGGGACGGGGAGGGCAGAGACAGCTCCCTGATGCTTGTACCTCACCTTGCAGTCTCCTAAGCACCTCCCTGGCCATCACTCCCTTGACCGTCTCAACCACCAGTGTGAAGGGTCAGACAGGCAGGTGTTCCTAGTCCTGTTCTCAGGAACATAAAGTGCTGTGTGAATAATAATGACAGTTGCCATTCATTGAACACCTACCCTGTACCAGGTACCACACTGTTTACACGGGGTCTTTGATTTTCCCATAGCATCAGTACATTACAGCCAGAAGGTAGCTTAAAGGTAAGCCTGATTTTGCACGGGAAGAAGTAATGGCAGAAATGGAATTAAAATTGAGTTCTTCTCCCTCCTCTTCTCCCCACAATCCACTAGAACCACCAAAAAGGGAAGAGAAACACTCCTGATGTACCCATTCCCTATTCCCACTCAGCAACCTCACCACCCTAGCCGCCCCACCTCCCCATCCCCACTACCACCGCCACACAGATATGTACACACAGCTGGAAGATTTACCAGGGTTTAAAGATGAGAATTGTGCGAGGCCATCTGTGGGTTTCCTCGCCTCCATCCTCAGCTAGTGTCCCGACTAAGCATATTTGGTAACCAGGAAAATACTTTTCTTTCTTCCATAGAGAAGGAAACTGATATCAGGGAAAGGAAACAAATGGAGCTCACATGGAAAATCTGAGCCTTAGCAAGAGCTTCAGAATTTCTCTAGAAAACAGCGCAGTGCGATAGAAAGTCCATGAGCTCTAGAGTCAGATAGACTTGTGTTCAATTTTGCGTTCTACCACTTCAGGCTGTGTGACCTTAAGCAAGTCACTCAACTCCCTCTAAGCCTTTAAACTGACCCATCAGTTTAAAAATACTTTTTGTAATAAAGTTCACTAATCCATATTAGTGGAAACCCTGATGGTATAGTGGTTAAAAGCAATGGCTGCTAACCAAAAGGTCAGCAGTTTGAATCCACCAGGCGCTCCTTGGAAACCCTATGGGGCAGTTCTCTGTCCTATAGGGTCTCTATGAGTCAGAATAGACTCCATGGCAACCGGTTTGTTTTTTTTTTTGGTTTGAATTCATATTAGTAGGTTGGGAGTCTCGTCTAGATTGCTGAAAAGTCTAAAGTATCCTTAAAGGGATTACAGTGTTGAGTGTTTTTTTTTTTTTTTTTTCCACTCTTAATAATAACACAATAATAGCTAATGTTATTAAGTACTTAATATGTGTTAAGCATTATCCTAAGAGCTTTATAAGCAGGAGCACATTTATGTGGATTTAATTGTCTCAAGAACTGTAGGTGGGGCTACAACTGTTATCCCTAATTTATAGATGAGGAAACTGAGACTGGAGAGATTAAGCAACTTGACCAAGGCCACCTGGATAGTAAATAGAAGAACTGGGATTCAAACTTTGATCTGACCCCAAAACCCCTGCTCTTAACTACATGGCTACACAACCGCCTACCTGTTGGGTAACTTAATTTAGACCTGAAGGTACTATGTGAAGGGAACGATTCAAACAGGCAGAAAATGTTTGTGTGGAGGCATGAATGTTTCTAAAGTGCTTGCAGTTTGTTTCATGAAACAAGATGGCCATGCTTTCCAAAATTGTGTTTCTATTGATAATTGGCTTGACGAATGTGTTGTGAGGAAGGAATGAGAGGATTCTTGTGAAGAGTTTAGAACAGCACCTGAACCAGGGAGAGCTCAGTAGTTGTGGGTCAGTGGAAAGAGATTAAGCCTGACCATCAGAAACATCTGGGTTCAAATCCCTCTTATCAGCTTTGTGACCTGGAGGATGTTAATAACCTCTTCTGAGTCTCATTTCCTGTTCTGTACAAAGAGGATGATCACCACTCTGCCTCAGGGCCACTGTAAGGAAGAGACAAGGGCTTCCCATTCTGGGCGATTCAGTCTACCTTAGCCACCAAGTTACTTATGTGACAATAGTTAGCAAGAAAAACCTATACTGGGAATGTAAAATGGTACAACCACTTTGGAAATCAATTTGGTGCTTTCTTAAAAAGCTAGAAATAGAAGTACCATACAATCCAGCTATCCCACTCTTTGGAATATATCCTAGACAAATAAGAGCCATCACACGAATAGATATATGCACACCCATGTTCATTGCAGCACTGTTCACAATAGCAAAAAGATGGAAACAACCTAGGTGCCCATCAACAGATGAATGGAT